AACACAAGATTGATGTAATATGTAAATTAAAACAATCTAGTCTTTACAAAAAATGAAGCTTTTAATTAGGTTTAGATTAAAGCTAGGGTTAAGATTAGGCAAGATATAGCTTAAACTAAAATTTTACAAGAAATTTTTTTATTAGAATACAAAAGTTGGTTTTTTAATTAAAAATTTAAAATAAAACTAAATTTTTAAAAGTTTATTGTTTTTATTATACAAAGAAGTGATCTGCATATTACACCTGATCTTAAATTTTAATTGGTTACAATATCCTAGCATCATAGCACCATAGTACTATAAAATAAAATCTATTCTAATATTATATTTATAGATTTATAAAAGGCTTGTAAAAATTATATACTACTAAACAGATTAGTTTTTACTTTAAATTTATCTAAATAGTATATGAAAGTTAAAAACTATTAAAAAAATTTTATTAACTAAAATTATGTAGAAAGGTTAATATTTGATAGTAGTCTTAGAGTATTATTTAATCAGATTATTGTATTCAAGACATATATTTTAATATATTTGTTTTCTTGTTATACTGATTTAGAAAATAAATAATATTAATTATATTAGTATATATGATATCAATTTTTTAAAAAAATAAGCTAAAATATCCATTTTTTACAAAAAAAAATTTTTTAAAAAAATAATAGACTAATAAAAATATAGGTTTATTTATATATACTCTAAGATATATGTATTCACATCATATGATCTATATAGATTAATATAAAATTCAAGATCAGGTGTAATATTATATGATCAAAAAATTCAAAACAAACATTCATTTTGACAAAAATCGCTAATTTCGCAAAAAAATATATACTAAACTATTTTCTGTATATTAATTAAAAGTTTTTCTTAAGCAATTTTACTATACAATTATCTAAACATTAACTCTAACATAGTTCTCACCCTAACTCTAAACTAACTAAACAATATTGGTATTACTATTTTTGTATATAATATCATATGATCAAAATAAAGAGTACAAAAAAATTTAATATATCTTGTAGAATTTAGTAAAATAGTCAAATTGTTATTTTTTCAAGTAGCAAGTTAAGAGTTCAAACTTTACAAGCAATAAAAAATTTAAATTTCTATTTATATTATAGTAACTGTTTTATAAAGATTAAGATATTTAATTCTATAACTATAGTCAAACCAATTAGTGGTTAAGATAATATCTACTCAAATTAGAGTTATACTTAATTTAGAATAGCTTATTTCAAAAGGTTTACTAGAAGCTAGATTAAAATTTAAAAGATCACAAGGTATTCATATAATAAAAAAATTATACAAAAGAATATAAGCTAGTACAAGTAATACAAATCTATAATAAGCTTCTATATCTATATAAATCTATAGAACTAATAAAGATAAAAATCTGCTTGGCAAAACCCAAATAAAAAAGTAGTAGAAGTCTAATATAGTCTATAATAATTATAATAACAAGATAATCAGAATAAGAATTGCTAATACTATATAAATCTTACAAGAGTATTAACTAGATCAGCTATTAATAGTATAATGTAGTATTGTTAGACCTTTGGTTAACAAACTGCAATACTTGACTAGGTGTTCAAGTGGTTAAAAAATATGTTTTATATGATTTTATAATAGAAAATAATTTATAAAAAGATAAAATATTATTGATTTATTGCTAATATGATTTTAATAAAGAAAGATTATAACCAACAATTTATAAGCTAAAGATAGATTTTATTTACTCAAAGAATATTTAAAAAAATAATACAAATAAAACAAATAGAATAACTCAAGAAAAATATAATAATTTTAAGAAAAATATCACAATATTATAGAAAAATAAATAAAAATATAACAAAATTTAAGGAAAAAAATAAAAATAACCCAAGACTCAAGACAAAAGTTATAAGCAGTATATCAAAAATAAAGTATTATAATGACCAAAATATTTGGACCAACTATTCTTTTACTTTAGAAAAAGTGTAAGAGTTTAAATATCTTTTAATAGTACTATAATACTATAAAATAATGTTGTATACTATTATTTAAATCATTATTTATTAATAATAATACTAAAAATAACTATAATAAAGTTATTCTACAATGTAATACTATTCTACAATAGCAATGTTACATATTATTATGATAATCATTATATATAATGCTAAACAATAAATAATAACAAAATAATGTTTTAAATTTGTAATACATTTAAATAATTATCAATCTATCAATCTAGAATGTCCTGAGGTGCTATTTTTGCTAGTATACCCTTGTATAACTTTGGTCTGAACTCTACTTACATTAAACAAACTTATAATTTAAATAATTAAATAACTATTGCTTTAATTGATGATTCGCCAGTTATTTGGTACATGATTATAATGTAATGTAATGCAAATTACTATATAAATCACATATACCTTAAATGTGGTATTTACTTAAGAAAAACCTTTTTATATTAAGTTAATTGCTCTTCTGTATTAAATAAAAATTGTAGAGCTTGTCAAGACACATCTAATGGTAGTAAAATCATCAAAAATGGTCTAGTATTTGTCAAGATATTGCTAAAAAATAATTAGCTGACTATGTAAAATTTTTAGTTTGTTTATATAGAATTTTATCTTACTACCGTTAGATGCATCTTGACAAGCTCTACAATTTTTTTTTTTGGTATTCAGGTAGGATCTTGCCCATAACTTTATTTATTATTAATACTTTCATTACATGTATTACTACATTTTGTATTATATCTATCAAGTACACCAAGCTCAGACCTAGATTCTATTGGTAATATACACTCTGGCCAAAACCATCACTTGCGTGATCAGGTGTCCCTCTCTGCTATTTAGCTACTGATTCTATTATTTGTGATCCAAACCTACTGGAGTGGTACGTCCATAGATAGCACTTACCCAGAATTTTTTCACTCTTCACAAGTCCTACTTTGGTATGTTCTATGACTACATTCCCTGCATCACTTATACTACTTATACCTAAGCTTCCAAATTTGATAATCCTCTTTATAGAAAGGCCTCATAGCCTTATAAGACTACTTCCAATCTTGGTTAACATTGGCTAGTTTGTTTAGATGAGTCCTATCAGTAGGCTCCATACTACTCAGCTTAAACCCTGTTATTAATACCTAGTTTAGTTAGTATACTTGCTGATTCTATTACCACATTGGGTAGGTACTCTCGTGTATTGATGCGAGCTTGCTATGTTGCGTTACAAGTTATCTTATAACTTCTAGATAGTAGATTTTTGTATTACTTCTCTTCTATGCACTGACGGATTGGGTACCTGTCTAGTGTATAGTGTCCCGTGCCCTGATGTTTTAAGTTACAAGATGCTAGGGGTATAGACCTAGTTTTGGCTTGCGGTCTGTAATATTTCTAATTTTAGCATTTGGTATTCCTTTTATGCTTTTGTCTATTTTTGGTATACAAGCTCTATTCGTATAATTGTACTACCAGCCTGATGAATCTAGCTATTTCGAGTTATTACTGTGTATCTGAGTTTTAGCCCACTTTTCTCTATTATCATAAAATTTCCCTAATAGGCCAAGTGGCTTGGGGCCAGAGGTGCTTCTAATTCCGGTTGGGCCAATCCTTTTCCACAGGTCATCCTTGTATTCTCTACTTTTCTCACTACTCTAGTTATATTACTATCATATCACCCTCCTAAGCAAGTATCTCACAAGTTAAATGCAGAGATATTGGTGCTGCCCAGTTATCCTTATCGAGGATTTATATATGTGATCTTTGTATAATAAAACCTTCTATGACTTGGTATTATACGTAGTGCTACCGCTCTACAATTAGACCTTCTTCTAGAAATTCTCTTTTCTGATTTCGTACTTGCACTTGGATTTAACTACAGAGCTCCGCATTCGATTTGGCCCCTTTCTGGATTACAGAAACAAAAAATCCTAAGATTTTTGCCTTTAGCCCGATTTGAATCGTTAACCTAATCTGTGGAGATTTGGCAGCTTAACCGCTAAGCTATGGGGCCTAAACCTAGCTCTACAATTTTTACTTAATATAGAAGTTCAATTAACTTAGTAAAAAAAGTTTTCTTGGATGAATACCACATTCAGAGTATAGATGATTTATATAGAGTAGTGTTATTTATCACCTGATTTTTTTTTATCAGAGGCTTACTCTTTTCCCCCCCTCTTACTATATATTTTGATCAGGTCTTTATATATAATTTTAAAATTTTTCCCCATATTCCAATGCCCCAATCTTGCTCATAAGCGTCATTCTTGAAAGAAAAACAATGATTTATAATATTTGATAATGACGTGTGAACGCTATTATTCTTAAACATACCTTCCAGATATCAGGAACTTCGGTTTTGAACTTTTCTAAATTAGTCCATTGCGAATCAACGCCTAGTTTTGTGAAATATCCGTATTTAACGCTCAATTGAAACCACCATCTGGAATCCTTGAACGCATCAGATAACCAAAAATCGAACCGCGGAACAACTTTTTGCGGATCTATTTCAGTAATAGTGCCAGATACTCCAGCTTCATACAATTTTAAACCCTGAGCTTGGCGTTCACGTTCTATCCTTGGTGTATCAATGGGTTCACCTGCATCACTTGCAATTGGAACAAGGTCTGAACGTGGTAGAAGATTCATAAGACGAGTTTTTTGTTCATCCGTAAATTCGCTATAGACATTATGATTGATAATGTGCTAATTTATAAAAGAAATATGATTAGTTCGAATGGTAAAAATATCCAAAATACAATTCATTAAGGAGAATAAATGGTACCTTAATATACTTATGTCCTAGAGGTGAATTTGGATCAGTGAGAAGTTTCTGAAGGTAATCTATATCTTTCTTTTTCATCCAGGGACGTCTGATCACGATTTTTTCTTGATAGTCTTTATATGGTGGTTTTGGAAGTTTGGGAATTTCAAATAGTCGTTCTTTGATAGTTTCCCATCTCTTCTGGATAACCGGAACAGTATCATCATTGGATTCGGAACGAATGGTATGGGAAGATCCTTGGGCACCGTGCGATGAAGAATTCAAGGATGATTTCTCGCCAGAAGACGCGTCTTCCATACTGATATCTTCTATTGGCTGAACTTTATCTGAAGCTGTTGATATTTCCACGAAGTCAGAGTTATCAGTTTTTCGTTCGCTGTTATCACGTGCTTGGTCATTAGGAGCACCTGTTTGCTTGTGAGTTGATGACTCGCTTGTCGCTGCAATCTCTATGGCGTCCTCGCGGCGAGGCCTTTTGATTCTTGGGTTTTTTGGTGAAGTTATAGACTTAGCGCGTTTTTTGGGTAAAGCACCTTGTGGCTCTGCATTTGCTTCATTTGTTAGATCAGCATTATCTTCGGGGCTATAACTTTTAATGAGCTCTTCGTGTCTTCTATCAGAATTGACTGTAAGCTGATCCTCTTCAATTAAATTAGAAATATCTTCATTTTTAATGTCCTTGCTTGTTGTTGACTTTCTAGTAGATCTCACTGCGCTGGGAGCAGTACTATCATTTTTGGCAGTCGACTTTACTTTCCTAGGAGGCATTCTCAAAAACACAATAATATTTGTTTAAGCTAAATAGTACCCCCAAAAAAAAAAACACAAATAATTGAATTCCTATGTAGTATCGATATATGTTTGGACCAGCGGACTCAAGAAACCTTACGACTATACGTATTTCCTATGTGGCACAAAATTCGATCCTGCATTTCTGATTCTTTGTGTAAGTGACGGAAGATCGATTTTATCTAATTATCTAGTTATGGCAATTTTTTAACCAATCAAATAGTTCTAAAAATTTGAAACCCTTGCTTCTACTATATATGTCAGAGACGTATCTTGGTATACGCAATTACATAATTAGAACAAATTCAAATTGAGTGGACATTACGCGTCCTAACTGCGAGAAGCAAAAGAAAACGTTATCAGCAAAGATGTAAATAATTTATCGTTTAATATATATTGATCAAGTAATTTTATCACGCCAGGGTGTTGTTTAGATGATCAGCCAATTACGATTAAGGTTGATCATATTTTGTTTTACGCGTTTTCGACTTCTTTGGAGTAAATTTTTATCATTCTTTCAAGAATTTTTTTTTTTTGAAAATTTTTTTTACTTTGATTTTTTTGTATGTGCTTTTTTTTTGTTTTCAAATACAGTTAAACTCTTCTATAGTTACACTTTTGGGATACAAAAAAAGATAATTATAAAGAAGTGTGCCAATTATAGAGGTTAAATTTATTATATTTGATAATAGTTGGTTTTTAAAAATATGTGCTTATAAAGAATATGTGCTTATATAGGAGTTGACTATAGAGAAGTTTGACTGTATTAATATTTTTTTTTTGATAAAATATAATATAGTAAAATTTTATTAGTATATTTTATATTTTATTAGTTAATATTATTAGTATATTTTTAAATTTTTGTTAATCAATTTTTATTAGTTAAATTTTATTAGTTATTTTTTATATATATATATATATATTTTTTTAATTCGGCAGTCTTGTTTATTACTTTTTTATTTGAAAGTATCAGAACTTATATTAATAGAGAGATACAATTTTCTATATTATATTCTATATGAGTAAAAATCAACTTGAGCAAAGCTTAGAGAATGACCCATCTAGTAGCAATTAGCTTTACATTGGTTTCTCAACTTACTAAGAATATGAACCTTCTAATCCTTAGCTCTAGCAGCTACATGTTTCATTAAAAAAGTCAAATTAATGAAAGTACAAATATAAAAGAAAAAGGAAAATATAGGTAAAGAGAAATACGATAAAAAATATAATCAAGAAAAGAAAAAGGTAAGGAAATATTGAAAAAAAATAAAGAAATAAAATTTGTCTATCTTAACGATCACTATTATAAGCCTATAAGTGGTTTGTAAAAATTATATACTACTAAATAAAATAGTCCTTACTCTAAATTTATCTAAATAGTATATACAAGCTTAAAATTAGTGGAAAAATATTTTTTAAACCATAAAAGTAGGGAATCAAAACTCGATCCAAGTCTCGAAGCATTGTTTGATCAGAATATTATATTCAAGATATATATTTTGACGTGTTTGTTGTTCTGTTATACTGATTTAGAAAGTAAACAATACTGACTATTTTGTTGTATGTGATATCAATTTTTTGGAAGAGTAAACTAAAATATCTACTTTTTACAAAAATTTTTTCAAAAAAAGTGATGGGCCAACAAAAGTATTTAAGGTTATTCTTGTAAGAGTTATAGTAGTATAGTTTAGTTTCTCTGTTTCTACTTGATATTCTTGTACAGGGATCCAACAATAATGTTGCTTCCAAAATATCCTTTTGGTTTGGATATTAAAAGTATGAGGGAGTTCACTTCTTTTCTTCTTGCTATTCCCAGAGACTTCTCTGGTTTGGATACCAAATATACAAAAGAGTTCACCTACTAAACAAAAAGGCTTGACCTCTATACAAACCATCCACAACATCTGCATCTCAGTATATCATGTTTAAGAACTTTATCAACAACAGTTTATAAAAAAGAAGCTTGATCTACAATATCGGATCTGCTTTTTATTATTTCTTAATTAATAATTTTTGATATTAAGTTTCATCAATAGCAAGTATGTAGATATATAACAAGAGTATTTTAATATCTACTTTGTCACTTTTCTATAACTTTCTACTATAGTTCAGTTTGTTTTGTTGTTGACCAAGGGATTGCTGAGAAGAGTGAACTCATTTTTCTTATATATTTATTATATATTTTCTTAAATTTTATTATATATTTTATATTACTATTATATATTTTATAGTTTTA